GCTCGCAAACAAGTGGCACACTTTTCTTGTCGCCAATTTATGCGTGTTGTTGTGGGGTTTTTTTAGGAGCGTCGGATAAGACGGAATGTCGGATTAAGCGAAGGTCAGTTAAACGAGTCTCTACTGTATATTTGTTCTGAATTTAAAGTAAATGATGTACAGTGCATTTGCTCAGGAAACAGCTCAGCAGTACTCTATAATAATAAATTAAGTAATTGAAGATAACCTAGCTATTTTAACAGTTCAGCAATACTTGACATTTCAAAACCAAGGAGGAAAAAGGGTGTATTTAGTACTTACAGATTCTTCTCTATTATGTAAGTTAGTTTCTGGGGAATACTTGTACTCTGCTTTCTCAGAGTTATCACAAACAGGAGCAGCACCTAAAAGAAATGCACAAGTTTTTTTTTTTACTAAAACACTTCAGGTAGGTCTTCTGAAGACCATGTCCTAGAAAAATAACATAACATAAAATAAAATATAACATGATATATAAATTTCATTTATATAGACACCCATCTCACATAATGACTCTGGGTGGGTTACCACGGGTAAAATCAATACAAAATATAATTTAAAACATAACACACACTGCAGCTGAGAGACCAAACCAATCTAAACCATGTAGCACATCACAGGCTCTCACTAATGCTTCAAACTCCATGCCTGGGAACATAACCATGTCTTAAAGGCTCTGAAAGGCCAGCAGGATTGGGGCCAATCTAATCTCGGGGGAACAGTGTTCCATAGGGCAGAGGCAGCAACTGATGATGTGCTATGTGCTCCACAAGGCAATCATTTTTAAATCACACAATACATTCAACTTCCACACCCAATTCCCCAAAACACTCAGAATATAAAAGCTGAATTAAAGAGAGGTGCTAAAGAACTGTTCAGGTGTGCCAATGAATAACCGGAGATTTTGTTTCATGTGATTCTCTTCATATGAAATAACTCTGCCCACTGAAGGGAGCAGGCCTGAAGAGCTGTTGGTCCAAACTTCCTTAGAAGGGCAGAACTATCACCTGGTGGGATAGCCAGTATGGCTGTACTGTGCTTTGGATTCCATCTGCAAATAGTGATTTGGAGCGGGCAAGAGCATTAATACACACAGAGGCTGCCTGGACAGCTTTAGCATGGTGGTGTCTTTCCATGGACTTGTGCTCCATTCATGGTGCTGCACACTCTAAAACATCTTTTGGAGATTTAAATGTTGCACAGCCCTAATATACAAAGGATTTAGTCATAGTTCTCATTCATATTGTCACTCTTTCTCCAGAATAGACTAGTGCCTGCCCTCTGGAATGAGGTTCCCCTCAAGAGCCAGATGACACTGGAACACTTCTGGTGAGGCTGGCGAACTGACACGCTGTGCTCCGTGGGAGACACTGCGGCCAAAAAGCAGCTGGATGTGGATTTAGAATGCGGATAATTCTCTCTGGCAGACAACCTAGGGCAGGCCTACAAAACATAGGGCCTGTGGGCTGCAGGCAGCCTCCCATGCAGCCTTCTGTGGCCTGTTGACTATTTTTTTAAAAATCTGCTGCCATCAAACATTGCTGCAACCAGGAAGGATCAGCCACTTCCACCTAACTTTTTGCAGCTACTTCTGCCTTGAAAGACACATTGTGAGTGCCTCCAATACCTTCAGGCCTCACTGCCCTGCCAATTCCATCACTGCCACTACATTGCTAACCACTGAACACTGGATAAGGGTGTCAGCCATTCCTGCCAGTTGTGCTGGCTTGCTCTAGTGTGCAGGCAGAAAGCATTCCAGAAGAAGCACAACTTCCTCTCAGCTGCTACCACCACTCTCTGACACACTGCTTGAGAAACAATTTGCCATACTCACGCATCTCAGAAACCTTAGATTCTTGCCATAACATTGGCCATTGTAGCAGTACAGGATTCTTCTCCTCTGAAAGAGACTCAGCACCTCCTGATACTTGTTTCTGGTTTGTTTTACTGATTTCATAGCAAGCAAAGTTCTTTGCAACAAGATCATCATTCACACACACCTGTGACAAAAACAATGTTTTGCATATGAAGATTTAATATGAGGGAGAGAAATTATAGGTAGTCCCTGGGTTAAGAACGCCCAGTAAACAGAAAAGCCATATTTAAGAATTATTGTAGCAAAATTCGAGTTAAATGCACAATGGTTCGAGTTCATTAAACAATACTACTTATACAGTATTATACAATAATACTGTTCCGGCTTACATACAAATTCGACTTAAGAACAGACCTTGGGAACGGAACTCGACTACCTGTATATGAAAGTTCTTATGGCACATATTACAGATTACTAATGTGTCATAAAGACTACTTAAAACAACAAGGCATCTCTAGTATTTAAGGAATTTTGTCAAAATAGAGGTATCACCACTATTAAGAACAGCATAAAAGAGCATCACAATATTAAGTTAAACTATATTAAAGATGTTCTACTTGTTTTAACGGCTACAGCTTATATCAGCTCTAACAACAGAGGGTCTCCACTTGGTTATAAATATGGAAAACTTTGAAACAGATTTTTAGATCTCAATTCACAGAGAACATCAACTATAATCTAGCTTGGCTAATCCTTCAGAGGGCATCAAAACTCGAATAAATCCTATGGTTGTAGGTTTTTTGTCTCTGTATGTCTCTTCCTACCAAGTTTGATCTTGGATTCTACACTCAAGAAAGTCAGCACTACATTTTAGAGACTCTCACCTGCAGAAAGAATTTTTAACTATCAACCCTTTATCTTATCTCCACTTTTTCTTGCACTATACCTTTTGACACCTTTTTTCAAGTCTAGCTCCAAAATTAAAAATTGGGCTAGAGAGTACAGTGCTTGCTGGATTGAGGTAAGATAAATGAGGCAAATGATGAGCTCATCTGCTGTTTGTAATTTAAGAAACAGACCTTTCCTGGCTTTAAACATGAGAGAACAGATAAAGAAACAGACAAAATGCAGCCCATTAACTAAACAACAGAGGCATCTTATCTCAGGGTAAACACCGCTGGGCAATGACAAGTAATATAATCTATCCCAATGCTCTAGTACAAACTTTACCACAAGAAAGCACTGCATTGAAAAGAGTATTGTTTTCCACTCTGCTGCACAGGCTTAACATGTCACTAATACAGCAAGCAGTTGCCCATTTTAAAAGATTGTATATAATTTGTAAATGTGATCCTGATTTACCTTTTCACCTCTTCTTGTAACATAAAGACAGACAGCAAAACTATCCTCTTCAACAGCACATAATTTGGCCTCCACTTGAGTGGCTGCTATGAATAAAAGGAGCAGGAGTATTAGCTTACTATAGCTATAGGTTTCTCCACATATCATTAATTCTTTTTGCTGATCATTGACCAAAATAAAGGAGCTAATCAACTCATCATTAGCTCTTTTTCAATTAAGTCTAAAGGCCTGAAATACCAATGATTGCAACACCAAATCATTATATTATAGTAAAGGCATAAAGAGAAAATGGCATACAACTTCTCAGAAATAGAATCCAATACGCTGGATCGGTGTATGTTTGCTCCTGTTATGCTAAAAACTGGTATCTAGAGTTCAGCTTGACTGAACAGACTCTTTCTTCCTCAGCAAACAGTGGCACCCAGCCAACTTTTGCTAACTATGTAAACTCAGCAATTTTGGCTTATTGTATTGCAAAATGTAACCACTTCTAACTTATTCAATAAACAGTTATTTAAAAATCCAACACTTAGCACAGTGCAATTTAAGATGTTATATTTTCACAAGCTGATCACTAATCTTAGGATTCTAATTCTAAGTAGTAGGCAGAAGTACCTGGCCTCAAGTTGCCTACTGTGACCAAGTACCAAACAACTTGGTTAACTGACCTTGGTTTAGTGAACTTCAGGTTTAACAGACATGGGTTTGAGTTACAGCAGAGGAGACAGATAGTGCAAGTTGCAGGTTTTTGCATGCATCTGCTGCAACCAAAGGCAATTCCACAACCACAAGCAAGGTAAGTCACCAGAGATAGGCAAGCTGATCAGAACTTGAGAGCACTGGAGCCAACTTATGTGCAGGCAATGATGGCAGCACTCAAGGCTGTGTTCCCAGGCTCCGAACCTCTGATCTTCAGTGGGCTGATCTAGAGTCACTTGCAATTGCTTGATTGCCTGCAATCATGCTGCCCAGCTGCAACTTATGTTCTTTTTTTCTCCCTTTTTTTTGATGAGAGGTTTTCGGCTCAAAAAGTAACACTTGCCATTTATTGGACATCTGGCGGCAATGGACAACCTTTACTGATCTATTAAATTGAGGGTTGTATGGAATTGATCTTGGCAGCAATGCACATTTTCCTTTTTTTTTTAAATCTAAGCAAACAAATATACATTTTGGACATGAATTAATACCTCACAGGCTTGCCCCCATGCAAATGTAGGTCTCCTAATTCCATTATTTCATGCCAGTTTTATAAAACAGATTTGCCATATATCTGAAATTATACAAGATGTTATTCTGCCTACTTTCTTACCATTCAGGAGATTTTGCAAGTGCTGGATAGCTGCAATATCCCATTTGTTAGCAGGTCTAGAAAGAAGCAAATAAGATTTTTTTAATGTATTACAATACCACAGCAAAATAAACAGGAAGCATACAGAAATGCAGCCCAATGGCATTTGTATAAGTAGCAGGTATAAAATGGGAAAATTGCACAGACTATAAATAGTTATGCAGAAAAGATCCTCTTTGAAGTTAGGGGAAATGTTTCTTAGAATACATTACATAATCTCTCAGTAGCCATACTTACACTATCTCTGCATTGTCACTGTAATAGTTGACACGTAGTGTTACTGGTTTGACACAGTACAACCTAAACTTCTTAGCTCTATAAGGCAGTCTCATAAATGATTTTAAAGCAACACAGATCCTGAAAGGAAACAGATTTCACAACACAGAATTACACATTTCTACCAATAATTTCCACAGATTTACTGTTCAAACTGCAGATCATAACCACCTTTAATTTACAAAAAGTGCTACTGCTTTATAGGCAAAACCAGCTAACCTAAAAATGAGCATAATCTTGTGTTCTTCCTAACCTCCTGAGAAACCCATTTTGTCCTTATTCTTTAGATTTACAAACCAGTCACCCCAAAGTTTCTAAAAAACCCTAGGCTGAGCATGAATCCAAAAATGTCCAACTATACCTGCATTAACTTATTGGCTGGATCAGACCAACTCAGCAGGGCCATGGCTTATGTGATAGGGCAGACAGGTAACCTTACAACTAAAATGTTTCAAATCACAGTCCAATCCTTTGCTAGATGACTTTACAAGTTATAAATACATACTTTTCTGTCTTTACATGAACACTTTTGGCATAGTCCACAAGGAAACACTCAGCAACGTAATAATCCGTACATGATATGATTGATTTAACAACAGCTCTGCACCAAGATTTCAGTTCCTGACAATAAACAGCACAAACCTAAGAAAGATGTGTAAATGTTTAATTTTATACAAAGTGTTGTTTTTTGATAAAAGATAATTGGTGAAGTATAACACGTGTATGATAAAATACATGTCAGGCAGTGTAAAAAAGGAGCCAGAGATTCAGTAACATTTTTTCATGTACTCTTCCACAAGCATTTAAATCAATTATTTAAATATTGTCTAGCATATGGATTTTGCAGTAGTTATGCCTTTCTATTTCCATGCTTTCTGTTTAAGATTAAAAAATACAATTTATTTTCACTGCCATGAAAAAATCTTATATCCTAATATTAATAAGTACAACATACTAATATTTCCACCCGCGAGCATCAGAAAAGCTTCCTCAGCCCTTACCTCACCACCCCATGAAACTGTTGCTATGATCTAAGATTCCAGAATTTGTTGTTCTATAATATTTATTATATTACAAGTGCAACGCATATAAGCATTTTTGGGAGGACTTACCCTAACTGTAAGTAAGTAAGTAAGAAGGAAAGACTCTTAAGACAACGCTTTATATTTCTTCCAGATATATTCAAACAAATCAGATTGAGAAAATCACCTGTCCCTCTTCTAATGCAGACGGCTTGACTTCATCCACACATCGATAAGATTTGTTATAGAATAGATTCATTTCAGTCTGAAGTGTTTTATATTCCATTTCATTGTCTACAAATTTTCTGCCTCCTTTTATGCAGACCCAAAAGGAATCTGGATTTTCAATCTAATCAGTAAGTATGATAAAACCCATATTAAAACATGCTCAAATAGTTCCAAATGAATGCACTAGGTATTTAATATACTAAAAATTAATCACAATACCTTCAGTATAAAGACTTCAATCATTTTCTTTCTCCAATGTCTAAGAAGAATTGCAAGCTTTATCTGCACCTCTGAAAATGCAACAGATCATCAAATCTGAAACTGCTTTCACAAAATGAAAATACCCCTGACATAATTTTAAAGCTGAAATAACCAGGCCACATTTGAGAAAGTTTGACAATTTTAGAAAACATGTATGTAAGATTTCATTACAACTTGATAAAGTTACCAGAGAATAAATAACAGAATAATTTCAGCAGTTCTGTTATCAATCAGTTCTGCTGAAAAGGTCCTCCAAGTCTAAAAAACGTAGTATTTGATATGAACTCAAACAGGGCACCTGCAGTTCTCAATACCCTAAAAGGAGTAAGCTGCTAAATTTCATTAAGTCTTCATTCACACCTTGGTCTAAGCCAAACCTAAACTTTACATAATAGACCAAACCATTTTGATATAAAAGCCATGATTTACAGATTAGTATGAAATCACAAGCAAACTGTGATTTATTATGCAAGAGATAGTTTACAAAATAGTGGCTTAGCATACATGAGAATTGCCAGTAGAACTTATTTTTCGATGTCTAGGGACAGAACTGCAGCATAAATTGTAAATCTGTTTTGCCAGCGGAGCTATGGATTTCTCAATTTGAGCCCACTGCTTCCTAAATCAGGGATGGGCAACTTGCAGCCCCAGATTCCTTTTATGCTTGAGCTACCTCTGATCACAGCTGCTGACAGCTAGCGGCATCCTTTCCTGCCATTCTGAGGCGAGAAAAAGGTAAAACCCACCAATCCTGTAGCATTTATCATAGAAAACAATGCATCCTCCCCCAATTCTCTGTAAAAACACTTTGCTAGAAAATCCAGGCCCACCTTTGTACTGTTCAGCTGGCCTAACTGCTCCCCACGCCCAAGAAAACAGGTAAGAGACACAGCTGTTCCCTAAAGTATTTGTAAAACAGCCAGATGGTTATTCTGCTTTTCTTCTTTCTAAGGAACTTCATTTCCCTATTTCACTTCTGGCTGTTCAGCACTGGTGGGGCTAAAGCACTAGCCAGAATTGGGCCTGGTGAAATCTCCAGGGAATCCAGACCAGGCGGCTGGTTGGGAAATCAGGGAAATAAGTAAAAATTAAATCAAATTAAAATAAAGGAGCCCATCCCAGAAAGCAAGAATGGTCAGGTGGCTTCCTAAGTTCAGTAAGTAAATAAAGTAAGTATTTAATACCACCAAGCCAGGAAAACTGGGGTTCAGGAGTCCCCGTTCACGACTTTTTAAAACATGCTTTTAATACGAGAGAGCCTTTTTTTTTTAAATCCTTCTCCTGAGAACCTCGCTGGGCTGAAGAGCAACACAGAATAAAAGGTATTATTAATTATTATTATTATTATTATTATTATTATTATTATTATTATTATCGCCCCCTCCCCATGCAAGGGTAGCCTGGACCACCTCAGTCCAACGCCGATCCTGGCTTTTAACCTAAGGGGAACCCCCTCGGTTGGGGAGGAGGGCTCGCCGGGAAGCAACGGGCCAAGGCCAGAAGCCTCCCCTCCCGCCGCCCGACCCTCCGCGGTTTCCTCGCGGCCCCCGAGGCGCCTTGCCCCCACGGACGAGTTTCCCGCCAAAGGCACCGCTTGAGCCCACTCCGCGCATGCTCACTGCGCCCTCGGCGCCGACGCAGCCTGACGCACGCTCTCAGGGGCGGGGCCGTGGCGACTGCGCGCGCGCCAGCCTCCCCCTCTTCTGCCTTTGGTTTTCGGTGATGCCGAGCGCGCTTCCGCGGCGTCGAAAGCCTTGAAGTGGGTGAACTACGTTTTACGAAATAAGGCACCCCCAGAAGGTTTTCTCAGTTGACTTCTTTTTTGTTTCCATGCACTGCTAAACAGAACCTGTTTGCACACAGAGAAGGCCACTGTTAACTGAATGAGCCACAGTTGGGTTTTGCACAACATAAACCATGGTTTGTAAATCACAGCCTATAAGAGTGCAAGCAAGGAACCTGTTGTGGTTAGTGGTTTGGGTAGCCCAGGGTGGAAAGTGATCAGGTTTGCTTAATAAGGCACCGTTTCTTTTAACTGTACTTTACTAAATGTAAGATTGGCTAGGTTTGCATCTAAAGTTAAGCTACCAGTGATAGATAGATAGATAGATAGATAGATAGATAGATAGATAGATAGATAGATATTTATGATTTAGACACCATCTCATGAAGAAGTAACTGGGCGGTTTACAATAAAAATAACATCAGTTAAAACAGAATTAAAATAGTATAGAATAGTATAAAAATAAATAAAACCAAATGCATAATAAATAATATCTTCCAATATCTTCCTGTTTTAGCTATAATAGCTGGGTCCATGCAACATATTAAGCCATAAGCCCTTTATGGTTTAGCCCACTGCAAACCACCTGGTGCAATTTTGAGTCACTCGCAGGTCCCTTGCTCATGTTTGTGTTTGCAGATACGTAGCCGCTATATTCCCACTGATACTTATTTAAAGGATTTATACCATAGGTTTGTATGAAATTCCTACAACTCTTCTGAAGTATGTTTCATCCAATTATGGTTAATTTCATATATTAAACAATGACTTAGCCCAATGTGAACAGAGACACTGAATGTTTTTGCTAAACATGTAATACAGCAAAATAAAAGTAAAATTAGAATTCCTGATTTAAAGGAAATTGTTTAATAAAGCCGTACATATTTAAAATGGAAATTATTTTATATTTATATGGGGTGTACCAAAAGTCAGGCCCCACAATTATATGTTGTTGTTCAGTCGTTAAGTTGTGTCCGACTCTTCGTGACCCCATGAAGCATATTGCGCCAGGCCTTCCTGTCCTTCACTGCCTCCCTGAGTTTTCTCAGTTTCATTATATAAATTACATTAAATATTTGAATTGGTTACCATTTTCTTATCACTTCCTTGTTTGACTCATGACCTTTGAACATTCCTAAGTACAGTAATGTACAAGTTTAATATTATGGTTGGTTGCACAGACAGATGTTTAGACTGGATTTGGCATTTTTATCCACCTTATTTTCTCTGATGTTCGCAAATTCTAATTTGATGGTCTCCTTTAGATTGCCTGTTGGCCTGCAGGGTCACTCTGAATATTGACTGTTTTGAGAATAATCGATAATAGCATTGCCTATTGTTGGAATATTTTCTTTATATGTTTACAATATGTTTAAATTAAGGATTGATGAAAGATTGTACTATATAGGCAATAATAATGCCATTTTATAAGAAAAAGACTGACTCCTGCTATTATAAATAAATGAGCATATCACGTAGCAAAACTGGTGCAAAGGAAGACATGTATTTTATGTATAGGAAGACATATACATAGGAAAGAGAAAATGTCCATTTATCTAGATAGACATTATTGTTAACGATAGATAAGGAAACATATGTTTTAACAGAATATGAAAGGAAGGAAGGATTCCAAAGGAGGAAGATGTTCATGCTGATAGCTTATTACAATAGTTCATGCCCTAACACATTCCATTCTATTGATAATGATGGGCTAAATTTTTAAATTAAAAACCTATAAGAAGGGAGACAGAAGAAAGGTCCATCGCGGCCGCCACCCAATGTTACTTAACAACTTTGGGTTGAATAAATATATTTTCTTTGACCTCCACTGATGTCTGGTTGTTTTATTGGATTCCCGGCTTGGGCACGAACCACGAGAAAAGAAGTCCGATCCTTCTGACGTTATGAAACCTTTTCAATGTTTTATGGCCCTGGGTAAAATGACTGCTTTGCACACTATTTGTTGCAATTTATTCATTGTGACAATAGATGATTACTTAATTATGACTTACAGAAAGCCTGGAATTAAGCAAGCACAATAGTAGCTCAGGAATTAAAGCACTTTCTTTGAACTGGTGTTTTAGGATCTTAGGCAGCAACCCCAAGGATTTCTTTTGTATGTAATTAGAGTTGGCAAACAATTTTCTGCTAGAGCTTTACAAATGAGATGGCTTGGAACGTTAAATATAGATGGTTCAATCAATCTTCCTGACATCTTCAAAAACATACTATCAGAACAAAAGAAGGCAATACTTGTAGTATGTTTTCACATACTTTTTGCTTCTCATGCATTTTTAATATACTGTACTTCCTAATGTTAATCTGTAAACTAGGGAGGTATTTATTATGTTTGTTCTTTCTTTTTAAGACTGTAGAAGAAAACAAGTCCCCCTTGTATTCTGCACAAACAGTGGCATAATTTTCCTTGTTTCCATTTCTTGAAATATCTGGGAATTAACCAAAACTAGCAAACGAGTCTGGATTCCCCCCAGATACAGTAAGATTTAAACTTCATCTTTTAATTTTCATGTTAAAAAATAAAAATCCAGCTAGTTCCACTATTTGAGGAGAATTGACCATTTGTGGGAAAATTAATTTAGCAATAATAAAGGAACCCATGAAAAAAATACTAAAAGTATTTATTTTTAACAGAAACTCATTAATTGCACAACATAGCTAACCTAAAGGCACAACAGCTGACATTTCAAAAAATAAGAACAGAAGTCCAGGCTTTCAATGGAATTCATTCCCTGGATAGTCAGCATAAACGAGTTAGTCTAGAAAAGTGCTTCCTGGAAGTAGTTCTGAATATATGCATGTAATAATTATACAATCTGCAATTCACTTATTTTGAATATGATTTTCAGGTAGTGAGAACAATACTATTACCATACATTCAAAGCATTCAGTTCATCTCATTTTGGGCAAATGACCTATCATCTACAGCAATGGTCACTGCCTTTAAAAGGGCAGATGCAACTGGGTGATCAAAGCCCCGCCCTTTTTAAGGTGTGTTGCATGCACTGAATGCATGCTGAATTAAAAAGGGGCGGGGTTTCAATCACCCCGTCATGCCCACCATTCTGTCTCAATTACTGCAGTGGCTTTTGTGACCCAAATCCATGTACTCCGGATGCCTACTAATCATTTACGATAACTTTAATAATAATTCATATGGGTTAAAATATAATTTTTTTTTGTTTACTGAAGGACTGTCATTGTTTTAAGTTGCAAACTACCTTGAATCCTTTAAGGGTATGACAGTAAATAATAATTAAGTAAATAAAGTAGTAAATTAAACTTGGGTTCTTAGAAGATAGATCTCTATTCCAGAATTGGCACATTTGGATGACATCCTAGACAAAAATAATTGTACTGATCCACATAGACTGAAATGTAAATAATTAATATAAATCTTGAGGCGTATCCACAAAATGGCACAATACTATTAGTCCTCGTTCTTCCTGAAATCTCAAGATTCCAAAATCTCTCAAAATGTAGTAATTCCGGTATAAGAAATACTACAATTTGCTGTTGCAGTCTGCATTATTTCCCATTTTAGAGTTCACCTTAACTGGATTTATATGTTTATATTTGGGTTCGATATTCATGTGGATAGTTACATTATTAAGGCTGTGTGTCACTATCCGATGAAGGCTTTTGGCCTCTTCCATTAGCTCTTCAATCTTTTTATTTGTTGTCAACACCGGTTTTCTTTCTCCAGTAAAATCAGGATCTTTTGGATACAGATCGTCACCTAAAAATATAATTATTTTTCTCAGTTTTGTATATATATATAATTAGAGATATAAATCTGCATTTTTGGTACTGTTGGTACCTTCAGTCTAGATGGTGGTGTGAAAAGTGACAAAATATTGATTATGAGGCACTATTTTTAATAGAGGTTTTGTCTCGACATACCAAGAACAGAAGTATTAAAGTAGGGGTGCACAGGAGTAACTTTTATTTACTGGGTTTATAAACATGCTAAGCCATGATCTAAGATTTACAAACCACAATCACTGGTTTCACAGTACACAGCAATTCTAAAATCAAGCAAACGACATTATAGCTATGTTTAATGTAACAAAAGATGAATGAATATCTGATCATCAATCCTACTACGTGTACTAGGTGAAATCTAATTTTAATTACATTACATTATTTAGCTTTTGTCCTAAGCAATCCACTTTTTGGAATATGGCCCCCAGCAACCCACTTATTCAAAATGGTTGATTCATTTTGCAGCTTCTGTTTAGAGTCCAGTGCATCAATAAACAGGCTTTTTTTTAATTAAAAAAAAAAAAAAGGCCAATCCCTCATTTTTACCTACCTGGCAACAATTGCATGTGGCCATCTGAAGCTGTCAACACAACAGGCATCCAACGTTCACAACCTTCTAAAGCCCGTTGTGAGCCAAACCTCTCCAGATCATGAAGTGATGAAAAATGGCAGAGCCTACATAACTCATAGAACTGAGGTGATGCTATCCAGATGTCTTGAGAGTTAAAAAGTTCAACAGCTTCTGAAGGGGTTGACCACTGAAAAAGAATAAAGCATTAAGTCAATCTCCGGGGCATGTAATTTCCCAATTAAAGGGATATTCTGTAGACTTTATACATATTTTGTACAACTTTTAATTCTGTTTTTCTGGTGCTCTCAATGTCTGTTTCAATCTATTTACTTTAGCTGTATTTTTACTGGACATCATTCTGACAGCTGATGCTACATGTGAACTAGTAATGTCAGAAATAAACGAATTGTTTTAAATATTACTTGAAGGAAGCAGAAGACATTACAACATATTTAGAGGATGTGTTTTCACAAGAGATGCAGAATAGATACTGGAACTTTGTACCAATAGTTTTGAATATATTTTATTTTCAGGGTTACTGATTGGGTTTTCATGCATTTGTTTTACATTGTCACCCATCTTGCTGAGCAACTTTGGTTGGGTTTTCTTTTAAGCTCAGAGTCTAACTTTATGGTCAGGAAAGAATTCTTCTAGTTTGATTGGGGTGCAATCCTTTATTTATTTGCTCCTCTGTGTTTGAAGTAAACACTCTAAAACACATACTGAAAATACAAACTACAAAATAAAACAAGTAAATTAAACCATGAATCATATATTTTTTTTTCTTTTTTGGCTTGGCTTACTTCCCTGACTCATGTTATAATGTCCTTTCCAAGTCTTTCACAACTCAAACATGCATGTTGAGTGCGAGTCCCTGACATCAATGAGATTTCCACCTATATATAGAATGGCTGTCACCATGTATGTATCTTAAAGCCACCGATTCCTGTCCTTATTCAAGCATGAACTCTGAACCCACCAGAGCCCCATACAAACTACCTCTCCTCAAAGGAACTGTTTACTGTCACCCTTAATGCCAAATCAAGGACTTGTGTAGGTAGGAAATTCACCCACACAAGGACCTGGACTTCACAGCTACTTGTTTTTCAAAAGCAATGTTAATTTAAGGATCCTTTTGCCCCTAACATACAAATAATGTAAATACAGAGTTTGGCTCTGTTTTGTGGAAAAGCACGCTGGAGATCTCACTCCATAAACCTGGATGAAATGAAGTTGGCGGGACTTGGATAAATATATTCCACCATTTGCATTGACATTTAACTAAATTGGAATTAATTACATCCTTTACAGAAGTTTCAGGTATTAAATAATCCTTCTCTTCAGCTATCATCAAATTGTCTCAGCGTAGCCCAACAAGCTGACAATGCTTTGCCGGGAGCCCAGTGAGCGTTGTTTTATGGTTTGCACACGTTGTTGTATCTTCAAAGCGATTTGGTTGCCGAAGGTGACCCAGGTTTTGGTCACAACAATCTCAAATT